GGCAACTATTTCTCTATATCCAGTAAAATAAGTTATCTCGAATTTTGGAAATTTTTGGTAATTTTTGGCAAAACACTCTATTTCTATGTTACATATCAATATTTCAATCATTAACTAGTTTTTGAGATGTAATTTTAATAAACATTAAATAAAAGTGTACGTTTTCTGCAGGAAAATACATTGATTTTTTTTAAATAAAATCAAAACTTCTAAAATCGCAAAAATATGTGGTTTTATCGGAAGTTCACAGATGTAATGTGACAACTTAGCTCGTTTTCATATTTTTCGGTCCGAAATTGTAAAATTTTTGTCCATGCCGCGCCACAATTTTTGTACAAGTGGGTCAATGTGCCTTGAACAAAATTTATGTATGTATATACAAAAAAAATATTTTATTTATTTTTTAATATTAAAATTTTCTATACTTCAAAGCCTTTATAAAAATATATTTTCATATATGCACGGACAATTTTTAATATTTTTCAACCGTAAGCAAATCTTCAGTACCATACAAGTTTCAAACACATCAAAGTCCAAGCAATGCAATGTCCAAGCTAGTGGTACTCCACTGTACATGTGTATATAAAGGTGTGCATGTATGCGAGTAAAAAATGCCAATTCCATTTAGTGTTTAACCCATTTTAGCGGACATGGTTTTTTTGGTTTCAGCTGGTTCCAACTGTTAATGAAGCACAATTTTTATGGTTAATCTTGATGAAAGTTACATGTATCGTCGAGAACATGGTTACATGCAGAATTTTAAATTAATTAATATTATTCTCCATACAAAATTTACAAGTATTGCCCTATTAAGTGCAAAGTTATGCGAAAATCTAAATATTTCTTAACCCATTAATGCCTGCCCATAGACCCGCTGGTACGATTTTGATGAAATTTTTAAATATGTGCCTGGGAGGCCATAGAAGTTGATAGAAAAAAAAATAAAAAATTTTACATGCGAACACACCTTAGATATGACATGGGTATTTAAATACCCGACAGGCATTAACATTAACTTTGAAATAACTCCAAAAAAAACACCATTGGCTATTGTTTTGACGTTTTGTGCATTATTGACATTTGCCAAATGGTTTTTTATGCACCATCATCCCACATGTAAAAAAAATACTTATAGTGATATAAAAAGGTAAAATAAACAAGAAAAAAGTGATAAGAAATAAATTGGCTGATTATAAACAATTGTAAGTAGACATGATCTTTTTTCGTTATATTTTATGTAAAATTATAAATATATGTCTCAATATATTATAGAATATTCAGAATGATTCGTCGGCAGAAAGTTCTCACTGCTATCGAGCTGCAAGCTATTTTAGATAGTTGGTCTGATGGAGATAGTGATGGAGAGGATAACTTTGTCCAACACGCAGACGCCGTTGATATTATCATAACGCCACCCGATGTCGATATTCTGAGTGACAATGAGGAATTGGACGACAATATTCAATTGTTGCGCGATGACCCGGAGCTGCCTCATGAGATTGCAGGGCAATTTGAAATTCAATGCGTTTACGATGACAGCAACGAGCACTTGCCATCGGGTTGTGATGGTGATACCGTAAATGAACCCGATTTTGAACAAGAAGAAGAAGATGATACACCGGTGGCCTCGACATCTAGTGGTCGTGGTCGCAAATCAACGCTTAAATCAAGTAAGCCACCTAAGCGACCCAGAATCGAAGAGGGCATGAAACCAAAATGGTCTCGGTCGCAAAATTATCAATTCACTAAGATTCCATTCGATGATTCGGCCACTTCACACAAAGCGTTGTATGAGAAAATTGGTGACATGAATCCAGTGCAGCTTTGGGAAATGTTCATCGATGAGGAGGTGTTGAACATGTTGGTTACTTCAACCAACCAATATGCTGCGACCAAAAATTGTCCTTCGTTCATAACATCAATTAGCGAAATGAAAACGTTTTTGGGCGTGTTGTATATAACCGGTTACCATACATTGCCGCAAATATATAGTTATTGGTCAAATCGGGAATCATTAGGATGCGCGCTAATAAAAGAATGTATTTCAAGAGACAGATTCAAACGAATCAATCAGTTCTTTCACGTGTGTGACAACTCAGCATTGGATATGAAAAACAAATTTGCAAAAGTCGCACCATTGAATGACTTATTGAACAAAAAATTTCTTCAATTTGGTGTTTTCTCTCACAACCTTTCCATTGATGAACAAATGATTGCCTACTACGGCCGACATTCGTGCAAAATGTTCATCAAGGGAAAACCAATTCGTTTCGGGTACAAGTATTGGTGTTTGGCTTCGTCAGAAGGCTACTTGTATCAACTACTTCCATACGCTGGTGCATCAGAACAGGAGGACCCAGGTTTCGGACTGGGAGAACGTGTTGTGCTATCACTTCTTTCCCATCTGGAGGCCCGCGCCAAGCGCACGGTTACCTTTGACAACTTCTTTACAAGTCACAAACTTATGACTCGTTTGTCGAACGATGGATTCTTCGCTTTGGGAACTGTTCGTGATAATCGGACCAATCATGCCCCATTAATGAACATCAAGGAAATGAAAAAGAAGCCTCGCGGGACGTCTGACTTTCGTTTCGACATGAACAATTCTATTTTGGCGGTGCGTTGGAATGATAATGCGGTAAGTTATATGTGCAAAGAAACATTTCAATTTGACTATCGGTTCATTTTGATCTTTACGTCCATCGTTGATGTGTTCTTCATTCATTCTTATCTTTTCAGGTCGTGACCTTATTATCGAATTTCCTAAGCCATACACCAATGGTCCGCGCGAAACGGTATGATCGAAAGCAACGGAAAATGGTTACTATTGAGCAGCCGTATTTGGTCAACGAATACAATCATCTTATGGGAGGTGTGGACCTTTTTGACAATGCAATGAATAATTATCGAATTCGGATTCGGGGAAAAAAGTGGTATTGGCCATTAATAACAAATGCGTTTGACGCGGCTATGGTAAATGCATGGAAGTTACATTGCTTCTGTCGCAAGTATGACAAGAAGCCACCGATGTCTCAATATGAATTTCGAGTGGAGGTGTGTGAATCGATTATGATCAAGTCCAGTTATCATCATCCGGGTAGAACGTCGGCTTCCGGGGCACAACTGGCAATGCGTTACGACCGTATGGATCATTTCATCGGAAAACTTAATACTCGTCATCGTTGTCCGCAATGCGGTGGCAAAACTGAATATGGTTGCTTGAAGTGCCAAGTGAACTTGCATCCCGCTCCTTGCTTTCTGGATTACCACAACGGCGTTGAACCAGATAAGAAAAAGATTGCCAAGGCTAAGTAATCTATTTCTTATAAATATAATAATTTCTCAGTAAAATAAAAAAAATTCTATTTAATTATGCGTTTTATTCACTGCAAATTAAATGTTTCCATATAGGAAAAAAAAAGACTTTTTGTGTACCCACATTGGACTGTCGGGTATTTAAATACCCATTTTCATTTAACCAGGTGTAACGGCCAGGTGTGTTGAGATATCTCTATAGCGTTTTTTTCATTACATGAAGGACACCTGAAGCTATCTGGTAAGGTGAGCTTTTTTCGTTTTTCCCATTTCCCTATATTTGGGAGCGCTTTTCCTAAGAATTTTCCGATAAAAAAAAACCTCGATTTTTGGCTTAAAAAAAAAAGTTTTTAACGAAAACAATATACTGACATAATTTTATTTTTTAAGGCCCATTCTTCCTCTTCAATCAAAAAAAAATATAACTTCGATATCTCTTTCCTAGCCCGAGCTAGAATTTATTTAGTGACACCACTTTCTTGGGTATTTAAATACCCATTAGGCAGGAATGGGTTAAACGTAGGGTTAATGGTTTCGCGCACGTGCCAGTCTGGAGGCGGTTCGCAGAAATTGAATAATTTGTGTAGATGGAAGCGGCGAGGGGAAGACGAAAGCAGAACAATCGTGTATATGTATGTTTATATGTACATTTATAAATGCATACATACTTACTTTGTTTGTCTTTTTGGATGCATGAAAAATTTGGTAGCAGAAATAGGTAATGAAATGAAGTTTACAAATATGTGCTTTATAAATTTAGGTTTAGTTATTAATAAATTAGATATGTAAATGACAATGTGGGGGACAAATATGCACATGAGTAGCGAAGGTGCCACCCATCGAATGGCAACTTCTTACACGACTTTATTAGAAAAGATTTGAAAACTGCATTATTTCCATAAATATAGAAAATATTGAAAAATTTCTCAAATAGTTTCGTCTTAGATTAGCGAGATTTTTACAAATTGCTGGGAAAATCCGACGTTTACAGTTTTTAAAAAGTTCCCAGGTCGAAAATAATTAAAAACTTAATTATTTCCATAAATATCGGAAATACAAAAAAAATCATACAGACTTTCGACTTAGCTTAGGGAGATCTCTACAAAAAAATGGAAAATAATTCTTTTCACATTTTTCCAGTCCAAAACGCAAACACTTATGAGAGTTTTCTATTTGCAATCATTAAAAAAATATCACAAAAGTCGGGAAATGTTATATAATATTTTCGATTTAATTGCATGTTACTTGTACAAATCAACGAAAAAATTTAATTTTCTTACTAAAACAATTATTTTCACAAAAAATCTAACAATTTCCAAAATATCACAAAATCATCAATATTCATATTTAATTAACAGTCCAAACGCTCTCGTGAGATTTAGCTCTGTTAATATTCTTTTTTTCTGCTTTGTATTTTGCTTTCGCTGTTAAGTATTCCAAATATTTGTCGCTCTTAAAATGCGCTTCGCCAGTTTTGTTGGCTCGAAAAATATACGTTCTCTGTAAAAACAATTAGGTGGTAGCGGGCGGAGCGAATATTACGAAAAACGATGCAGTCACTAGAAAGCGGTAATAAGGCATGACCAAAAAAGATTATTTACAAGAACAGGTGCATAACAAATTAGAAAACTAAAAAGTGCGATGACTCTACATTTAACCCTTATGTAAATATCTTCAATTAAAACTTAAGTAAATGCTTAAACGGACTTAACAGTGCCCTTGTCGGATCTTAGACTATAAATGTTTTATTTTAATAATTAATTAATTAATACACAAATAAAGTTCCGGTTTTTTATTAAATATACATACGGTAAAAATTGGTAAGGGCTAAGCTCAGGACCTTACCGGGGTCACACAGGGCGGATCGTGAACGGCCTACTCCGATAGGTTAGCTGCGAATAACCAATAAGCAGTCCCAGACCAAGAGCGGCAGGAGACGAGGGCCTGATTTAAAAGATCAGAAATGCTTGATGAATCTCCTGTGTCCGGGCGAACAGATGCCGCCCCCCAAAAAGCATCCCAGGATTGAGACCAGTTAGATCCTGTTCATGGCATACTGGAGCATGTATACGATTAGTCTGACATTGGGCTGGCGAGAGCAGTATTCCGCCACTTTAGTATGTGAGGGTGACACCTCACAGAAATGGCTGGTGGGCTAATGCTGCGATCGCCTCCGTCTCGTTAAAACCCTGGCAGGTCTTCAAGTACGTTCAATACACGTCGCCATTTAGTTGGCCGCACAGGTCCAGTTGAGATTTACTCCTGGTTTTGCGCTGTCTTGGCTCTGAACACAATATCCCATAAGGACTTGTGTCAACCCTCGCGATGGCCTGCTCCTTTGAGAGAAGGGAACTTCGGGACACTTAAAAGCGACTGTGCTACGTGTGGAGATAGCGGCTTGAAGCGGAGACCCAATTGACTGAAATGATTAAAACAAAACCAATAAACGAAACGAACGTCGATGCTACGGAGGAAGAATGCAGCGCATTCAGGAAGAGCAGTAGAGTCGTGCGCTCCCCGCCACAAACTCCTCTGCAGGCAAATTCCGGCACCACGAGCACGGAGAAAGCCGCCGGCGTGGCGCAGAAGGCTACACCTTGCCAAACGGCAACTCCCGGCAGCCGGGATAGTCGTCTTCAAACGCCGGCTGCTGCAAACAGCGACAAGCATGTCACCGCAAGCTTGGGAACTTGCGAAGGCAATGAAGATGAGCAATTGGTCCAGATTCGGCTTGTCCTGAAGAAGATGCAGAGCGCTGTGTCTAAGCAAAAGAATGTGTCCATGGACATAAAAACAGGTATGGCCCAAATCGAGGAGAGCTTAAATATATTAAGCTACCTCCGAGAGCAGCGCCGGAAGGGGCCTACCCTTTCCGAGCTGCGGAAGGCTGGCCCTGGCTCGCAAAAGAGAGGTCGAACTCGATCCGACTCCCCTACAGGCGAGCCGGAAAAGAAGAAAAATACTACTGCTAATAATAATAATAGTAGTAAAAACATTATTATTAATAATCCTAATAATAATGGCAATAATAACAACAATGCACAGAAAACCGTACCAGACAATCAATGGAAAACGGTTGGAAAAAGTAGAAAGCCCAAGCCAGGGCCAGCGCCAGGTGAACCCTTGGTCAATAAGGGCGAGGCGACCAGCCGCAAAAAAAAGAAGAGGGTGAGAAAAAAGAAGAGTCTCGCCAAATTAATAATTAAGCCAGCTGAAGGCAAAACCTATGCAGAGGTGCTGGGAACGATACGCGGTAAGCTCCAACCCGAGAAGACGGAGACCGTAATTCGATCTGTTCGGAAAACCCGCGAAGGCGGCGTGCTCATCGAAATGGAGCGCTGTGGCAACCACACAGCATTTAAGGAAAATGTGTGCACTGCCATTGGCCAGCTTGGAGACGCCCGTATTCTCACTAGACGTTTACGTCTAGAAGTTCTGGGCATGCACTGCCTAACCACGGCCCCAGAAGTGGAGAACGCTATACGCGGGGAGTTAGGAGACAAGATGAATGGCCAACTCCGCGTCTCTCTCCTCGCTGTAAACTCGCGAGAACAAAGAATGGCCGTGGTGGAAATCGATGAACTGCCAGGCCGGACTCTTATTGAAAAGGGGAAGCTGCGAGTAGGTTGGATTATCTGCCGCGTCCGAGAGCGCGCGGATGTCCAAAGGTGTTTCCGCTGTCTGGGGTATGGCCACAAAAAGGCGGCATGCAAAGGCCCAGACAGAAGCAGTTCATGCTGGAAATGCGGTCAGCAGGGCCACATAGCCTCTGCATGTAAAGAAAGCCCAAGCTGCTACCTGTGCTCGGCAGGAGATGGACAGAAAAATGCCAACCACCTGCCCGGGTCGGGAGCGTGCAAGGCCTTCAGGGATGCCCTTGCTGAGGCTAAGACAAAGCTTGGGAGAATATGATTAAATTTATACAAGGCAATATGAACAGGAGTAGGGTAGCTGATGACCTGCTGGACCAATTGGTTCTTGAACAAAGAGCAGACGCTGTCATCATCAGTGAACCCTATAGAACAAAAGAAACCTGGCATGTTGACCAATCAGGCTCGGCCGCGATATGGATTGCTAACCCCAACCATCGCGCAGAGAGCAGCGGGGTAGGACGCTGCTACGTCTGGGTTAAAATGGCGCAAATCACTGTGGTGAGCTGCTACCTGTCTCCAAACGACACAGTCCCTGTCTTCAGGGGAAAGCTCGAAGACCTTGAAGACGAATTGCGCGATATAACCGGCCACATAATTGTTGCTGGAGATTTCAACGCAAGAGGCGTGGAATGGGGTATGCCCCAAACAAACACCAGGGGAAGACTGGTCCTTGAAATGGCAGCCCGCATTGGCCTGACCATCCTCAACACCGGAACGACCCCTACATATCGAAGGCCGGGTTTTGGATACTCTATCCCCGACATAACCCTGGTCTCAGAAAGCCTTCTCCGAAGGGCTGACGGATGGAGAGTGATGGAAGACCTGAGTGGTAGCGACCACAACTACATCACCTTCCAAGTCACTGACATCACGCGAGGGCAAACACGTAGTATCCCTCGCAGGAAACCAGGATGGAACCCGTCTAGGGTCGATGTTCGCAAGTTCGATACGTCACTCCTAGCAGATTCCCAAGGCATTTCACCCACAACGGGAGAGATCCACAACAGGGAGTCTTGTACTAAGCTGGTCGAAGAAACTATGCGCTGCATTCACCGGGCATGCAAAGCCTCAATGCCACAGAGGAGAGCATGGTCAGGTAAAAAGCAGGTATACTGGTGGAATGACCGAATTGCTGAGCTGCGAAGGGCCTGCCATAGAATGCGGAGACTCGCAACGCGCGCTCGTGGTAGACCCGAGGCGCTGACCAGAGCAGCAGCCTACAAAAGCGCAAAGAAAGCACTTGGGGCCGAGATACAGAAGAGCAAACGGAACTGCTGGAAAGCGCTATGCGACGAAGTGGATCGCGATCCCTGGGGCCAGGGATACAAAATAGTGATGAAAAAGTTCCATACATCATCACAGGCGATGGATGAGGC